ACTCTAAAGTATACTGTTGTTAAAACTGACAGCACAGCAGACAAAAGCCAAGGGAGTAAATAATACAGATCAAAATTGACTTATTCAAGTGCTTTATTATTATAGTTAGACTTAGACTTTTATAAACTAAAAAACATTGAGAACTTAAAGCAACTGGAAAACTGAGATTTTGAATATCACACTAATAAAGCCTTAATATAACATAGGACTGATTAGCAAACACATTTTTGGTCACACTTATTACATACGAAATACAGAATAAAATCTTAAAAATTGAGCTGTGATGAAAATATATTGATGCAAATTGTATGCGAACAATTTTTCTAGAAAGGTTCTTTTCCATATTTCTGAGAAATAGCCCCATAAGGTTTCCTGAAAACAACATCACTCATCATGAATTTACATAATAATTAAAATTTTATTCAAACAGATCACAGTCCACTGACCAATACCTTAGTTTGAAAATGTCTCTATATGTACACTCCTCTGCTGCTCCCACTGTAAGACTCTGAAGAAGTTATTGATTTATTATATGGTACAAACATGGGAGGTTGTTGGACGGGATGCATGCTAGGCTGATATCCAATGGCATTTCCAGTGTACATTGTATACGGAGCGGTGTTCTGGGTTATACACAACGAGTTAGCTGGATTGTAAATGCTTCCACCATGGTTGAAACTCCCTACAGAAGATTGGTGAGCATTGCTGCCTTGGTAGATCAAAGATGCATTTTCTGGAGGGCCATGGTTGTAGATAATAGATGGATTGATTGGTACTCCATTGTTTGTCAGTACATAAGGGACATTTTGCAACGGCATCGCAACTTCTTGTCCAACAAAGTTATTGTTCTGTGGAGGATTTTGATGTACAGCTGACTGAAGGCTGGGAACACTTGAGATGGGATGGTAGCTCGTCAGGCCTGGGCTGCTGGACGCTTGTTTGTAGTTAAGTAATTTAATAGGGTGATAAACATCCAAAAAGCCTTTTTCTGGGGGCATATGTCGGCAGAGAAACAACAAGGCTGAGACAAACAGGATGGCACCAGTCACCCAACCGATGTAGAGAGCCTCTCCTAGCTCTCTCCTTTGGGCATCAATCAGTAAAGGATTGTAAAAGTCTCTTATGATGACATGGCCAGTCCACGATACAGGTATAAAGACACAGATACAGGCCAACAATTGCATAGATCCTGCAACCATAAGGATGATAGTTTTGGCCCATTTGTTACCCTGAAAACAGGATACACATTTCAGCCCTGCTAGAGCCACCAAGAGCCCCAAGCCGGACAAGGCCACGGAACAGCACATCAGACCCCTGGCAGCCTGCAGCTCAGGCGGGAGGTACAACAGGGAGTCGTACACTTTGCACTGCATCCTAATGCTGGCCTGTCTGTAGCAGTTCATCCACAGACCTTCCCAACGGGTCTCCATCACAATAATGTTCTCTCCAATGAAAGCCGTCACCTTCCACATTGGCAGTCCAGTTGTAGCTGCTGCACCGATCAAGCCGATCAAGCCAGCACACATTGCAGCTATCTCCGTAACTCCTTTAATCATTGTTGCGTATCCAAGGGTTCTGTAACCTAGTTGCAAAATTATATTAGTTCACTTCCAGAAGAAAAAAATGTCCTTGATCTTCAGAAAAGTTAACAAAAAAGCTTGAGCTTAAATCAGTTATGCGTCCAGTATGATGAAGAGCTCATCTCTGTGTTTGTTTGCTGTCAGAAGCAGTTTGTTTTGGGAAATATTATTTGCAATCACCTGGTTGGCTCAGAGAGATGGTGACAAAGAGAATGTCTGCTTGTTTTGTGTTTATGGTTTGTCAGGGTATGATGGTATTTCGTTTGACATTAGACTTCTCTTCAGTAAACACAAAATGCTAGCCTATACAAGATCAGAAACTCAAAATACAGGTACAGTTTTTTTTGTAACTAATATATATTTTATTTTCTATAATTATATGAAGTACAAAAGCTTATACACTGCAGGATTGCAAAGCTTGCAGTTGTTTGCCTTATCCAGAGGGGTGCAGAGATGAGCTTTTGACTCGTATAAGGAAGTTCACATTACACAAAGTCCATTGCATTTACCAAACAACACTATATGTTATGTATATGGTAGCAAATATCTTTAATTCTTTTCAATATACATGTTTTTATTTCTGCTATGATGTTAAATTTAACAGATAAACATAGATTAAATTTAACCTTATGCAACAATAAAAAACGTCATTACATCATTAAATGTTTCCATAATAAAACAAGTGACATACATAGAGTTAGTACTTTTTAATAACTGCATTTATTTTGAAAATGGTAAAAGTTAAATCAAGTGATCTTTTATTTTGAGCTGATTTACTTTATTATATTCTCACAAAAACTATTATATTGTTAACCATATGGATTAGGATTTAACATCAGAATAAAATATGGAGCTTTGTGTTTGTGTTTGATTCAAAGCAACTTGCAAATCCAGATCACATGATTCTTCGTTCAGTTTGTTCCTGGTGTCTTTGTGAGGACTGCGCTCCCTTTGAGTCCACACCCATAGCAAATAGGTGTTTTTCAAGCAGAACATGTTAGCTTTTTTTCCTCCTATTCTCTCCAGGACATAATGCTTAACCTCAATTATGACTCACAAGTTAAACTTTACACAATTTTCAGAAATAGCACGAGCTTTAGATGCTGATATTTTAGTTAAAATCAAAAACATTCAGTCACACATTTACAGTCCAAAGCCAGCATGACACAAGTGCCTTTAGTTTTTCTTTGTGTCTAATAGCTAATAGGTAGACCTGGTACAACTGACAAAAACTAAAAAGAAAACTATAAAGATAACTACATGTTTTAATAGAGTATAACATACTTCTCTTTTTAAGAAAAAACATGTATAAATGATAAATTGAAATGTTTGTGAATTCTAGGAACATGTATAAACAACTAGAATTACAACAACCACTTGTGCTGGATTGTAAAAGAGGTTGAAAAATACATAATATAAATTCACAGCACACAAATTTACAGTATTTGAACAAATCTTGATTAGCGTACACAACTTATTTTCCTGTTCTAATGTTCAGGACAAGATGTGGAAATGTTTTCTGCTCACTGCAGTCAGCTTGTAAATATAGATTAGGATTAAGATGTCTAATAATTGAATTTAACAAAATATAAGTAGATGTATAGAAAGGTCAATTTTAAAACTATGACAATTTGCTTTCACATTACATTTATTACTTGTTAACATTTTATCAAAACAATAAACGGTGCAATACTGTGGCAACTAAAATTGAAATTGTAAAGATTTGTTGCATATTAGGACCAATACTGACTATTTTACAGATAAGCGATTCCACTGCGCATAGAGGTTTGTCTGGAGGGATAGCTGTAGACAATGGATGGCTGTCTTGAAAGGTATTGCTGAGGTTCTGGTCGAGGAATTAGTACCAGCTGTTGAGGCTGTAGAGGCTGCATAGGCTGTAGGGGCTGTGGGGTATAGGCACTGTAGCTTGAGTTCTTGGAGTACATGTATTTCTCTGGTCTTTCGTCTTCAGATTGCATATTGCAACAGATAAATATGCATCCTCCAGCAAACAAGAAAGCAGAAGTCACCCAGCCGATGTAGAGAGCTTCGCCAAGCTCCCTGCGTTGGGCATCGATCAGTAAGGGGTTGTAAAAGTCCCTGATGATGACATGACCTGTCCAGGACACAGGAATAAGGACGCAGAGACAGGCCATTAAAATCAAGCATCCTGCAATGATGAGAACCAGTCGCTTCGCCCGATCATTGTTTACAATGCATGCTGTGCACTGCATCCCTATCAAACTGATGAGCACACCGATGCCTCCAAGTGCCACGGCTGAGCACATCAACCCTCTTGCTGCCTGCAAATCAGGCGACAGAGCCAGGAGAGAATCGTAGACTTTACACTGCATCCGGATGTTGGCCTGACGGAAGCAGTTCATCCACAAGCCCTCATAGCGAGTCTCCATAACAATGATATTCTCTCCGATGAAAGCTGTGACTCGCCACATTGGCATTCCGGTGCATGCTGCTGCCCCAATCAGTCCAATCAGGGACAATAAAAGAGCCACTATCTCCAGTGCTGAACTGGCCATCCTGTCTTCATTCACTCACACCAGCTCAAAGACAGCAGTGGTTAAATTCAGTGTAGCTGTGGCTTGAAGCAAAGGATTTCTCTTTTGAATTAGCTTTTCATCCAGGTGGGTTAAGAGCAGGTTGTTGTTCACCTGGACAGCCTCTTCCCTGTGGATATTAAAATGCCCTGGGAAGGGGTGGGAATTATTACCTGTCGCTAGGAAACTAAATCCACTTGAGGTTTTTTTCCTCTCTCTCTCTCTCTCTCTGCAAACTAACCCCAGGAGCTTCTGTAAGCTGCCTCTTTGTTCAGCGGTATCAATTTACATTCTCAGATCCCATTTTACTAAGAAACTTTAAGAAAAAAGCAACTGAATTGTAAAAAAAAGACATTATATTTAGAAATATATCATCTGTAAATACTGCAGATAATATAGATTTGATTAAGCTATATTGCTCACTTTTTTAATTCTAAATTATTAGCTGTGTGGCTTTGGTACAAGGTAAAATTACTGTTATGGAATTATTAATAATTATTAAACAAAGGTGTATCAAAATAATTTAAACAGCTTTTTTGAACAAGTTTTATTTATTTTTATTTATTTACCGTTATTTTACCAGGCAAGTCCCAATGAGATGTCAGGTCTCTTTTTCAAGGGTGGCCTGGGCCTGAAGGCAACCTATTGCACATGTTTTTGGGGGGTGGGGGAAACCGGAGTACCAGGAGAAAACCCACGCAAGCACAAAAAGAACATGAAAAGTCCACACAGAAAGACCCCAGGTCCAGACCGGGGATCAAACCCAGGACCTTCTTGCTGTGGGGCATTGGTGCTAACCACTGAGCCGTTGTGCTGCCAATGAGTGTGTATATGTATATATA